GGCTGGTCCCGGGCCCCTACCGCAGCTCCTCCACGGCCCCCAGGGCGGCCAGGTGGAGAGGCAGGGGGCTGACGTGCACCAGGTGGTGCCAGGAAGCCTCGAGCCATTGCTGGCAGGCTTGCAGCAGCAAGTCCAGAAAGTGCACCAGAAGGTGCAGGGCGAGCTCTGGCTCCATGTTGCCACCTGCGGCGGCGTCCCCGAAGGGAAGCACCGACACAGACGGGCACAGAGACCAACGCTTTGCTGTCCCTCGGTGAGGTTGGCAAGGAAGCAGGAAAAGCTGAGAACCGGCTGTCCGGGGGTCCCTTTAAGCACGAGCCTCAGATAGCCTCAGACAGCAGCCACACAAAGCAACTACTGACCTGATGCCCTGCCAGAACCAGTTTCAGCCACCCTTAAATGCGCCCCTGCGTCCAATCAGTGTGGACGCGCTAGTTTGAATTAGCAAAACGCTAATTCGAACTAGTTTTTAGTTCTAGATGCGTTAGTTCGAATTAGCTTAGTTCGAATTAACTAATTCCAACTAAGTTAGTTTGAATTAGCGCTGTAGTGTAGACATACCCTGAGTGGCATAGACCAGAATGGACGTGGGTACTGAGAAGCAAGTAATTTTGAGATATCCTGGTGATTTCAGTTCTTGCAATAATACGTTGCATAGGAAACCTGTTGTCATGCCAGCTTCCCTATTCCAGACCTATGCCCATTTCATGGGCCAAATTATGGCCGCCTCAGTAGGGGTTTGGTGGGTTACCAGTGAGTGAGGAAAGCCTTTTTCCCCTTTCTTACTCTCCTTCCCTCTTCCTTCTCCTTTGGAGTATTCAGTTATAACTTGGCAGCCAGTTTGCTCTGATGCTGGGATGTACAATTTTCTGCTGCCAGTGCTTACTGTCTCACAGGGCCTGTTTTTGCTGTGATAGGTCATAAACCTCACTCCACACCTCTGCAGTAGATCACAGTGAGTAGAGCCCATACTGTATTTGTAGTAACTACTCTTGTCTGAGCCCCTGAGGAGATGTTATTCCTGCTTCTGATCTCTGCAGGCATCACACCTCTATTCATTGACCATTGCTAAGGGAATACAGCAGTATAGCTCCAGTAATGCCCTTACTCTTTTAGGGTATGTCTACACTGCCACCCTAATTCAAATGGACTAGGTAGTTTGAATTAAAGCTCCTAATTCGAACTACTGTTACTCCTCCTGCAATTGCGGGAGGAGTAACAGTAGTTCGAATTAGGAGCTTTAATTCAAACTACCTAGTCCATTTGAATTAGGGTGGCAGTGTAGACATACCCTAAAAGAGTAAGGGCATTACTGGAGCTATACTGCTGTATTCCCTTAGCAATGGTCAATGAATAGAGGTGTGATGCCTGCAGAGATCAGAAGCAGGAATAACATCTCCTCAGGGGCTCAGACAAGAGTAGTTACTACAACATTGGCAGAGCCCTTAGTATTAGTTCAACAGTGGGTGATCTTTCTCACATTTCATCTCCTGATAATTGTTTTCAAATGCTAAGGCATTAGCTGTGTGATTTCACATAAGATTTTGCATAAAATTACTTTGTCCATTGCTTCTGTTAATAGTCATCATTAAATCTAGCTTCCCCTCATTTTTTCCATGTAATTATCAAAATTTGTATTCAGAACTGGTTGCCTGGAATAGTGTTTGTATTAATATCCTGCCAGTGTCACTGAAATATGCTCTGTGTCTGGGAAAATGAGGGGGTTGGGGGGGGGACCGCCAGAGTTCTTCTGGTACTGCCTACTTCAGCACTTTCTTTTCTAGCATTGTTATGCAAGGACTTTTTTCGTTTAGTTTGGACCTTCTAGAACTGCTTTTTGCTGTTTTCTCAAATCTGCTATTGCCACAATGCATCTATTACTTGCATAGCTTTTGAATTACCTGGCTCATCTTTAATAATCCAAAAACCCATTTTTAGAGTGAAGATTGTTAAATGATTTAACTAATATCCAAGCTTTCATTTCATCATCATCTGTAGAACAATTGCATTTAGTTAAGATAGTTGGCATATTTGGAAAGACGGCATCTGCAGCTAGTCAAGACTATGGGCTTTGATCTGATACTCACAACAGAAATTAGAAACCATACGAGAAAACTGTTTTGCATAGTGTTAACCCAGTAAATTGGTAGTTTACCTGAAATTAAGCTATTAAATTTTTCAAATAAAAGTAATTGTGTGGTGAAATACGGAGAGCTTGAGTTGTCTCCTTTTATCACATTAAATGGAATTGGGCAAAAAGATGTAGCAACATTTACTGGCCCTCGATAAAGTAATAAGGTAAGACTTGTGTGGTAGGGCAGCACATAGGCTGATTAATGCTCACATGGGAAGAACATGCACATAAATCAGTGACTTATAAAATGGAAAAGCAGTACATTGTTAAATTTAAGCTAGTTAAAATGGTTCATCAGGAAACAAGTTCTGTTAACAATAAAAAATGTTATTTTGAAAATACCCTTGAATTTGTGTCCATTTTGAAAACTGGTTTTGTTTTTATTCAATGTTTATCTCCTTGCTAGTCCTTTTTGGGCCTTGTGCGTCCCCTGCTCCTGCCCAAGCTCCCAATCTGATCAGTTCAATTCTATTTTGAACTGCTACACACAATTAGATACACAAATCAACTCTTGTTTACATTTGCAATATAAAATAAAAACAAGCATTATTGGGCTACAGTGGTTGAGTGGCAGAAGCCAATCCTGAGCCTTACTCACAACTGCACAGGTGGGGGAATAGTGTTAACATTCAGTATATATTTGTCAGGAGATAAACAGAATCTTCTTCATGAGAATATGTCTTATACACAGAGTATCATGAACTCTGAAAGGGGATTTGTCTCAGAATGAGGCAGGTGGTCAAATACTTGGTAACATTTTCCTGACACTTCTTATAGGGTATGTCTAAACTACATTGTTTTTTTGGAAAAAAAACTGCCCTTTTTTTCAAAAAAACTTCACTTGCGTCCAAACTGCATTTTCAAAAGAGCTCTTTCAAAAAAAAAAAAAAAAGGCGTGTGTGGATGCAGAACAGAGACTTTTTCGAAAGAAGAGGCAATTGAAAAAAGTACAGGTGCCCTAGTGGCCATTCTGCGAATAGCAATCAGGGCTTTCTTTCGAGAGAGCATCCATGCAGTCTGGAAGCTCTCTTTTGAAAAATCAGATAGCTTTTTTGATCTGGTTTTGAGGTGTGGATGCTCTCTTTCAAAAAAGCTTCTTTCAAAAGAAGCTTGCGGTCTAGACGTACCCATAGTGGGCATGTAACCGTTCTGTATGTTAATTGCTCTGTAGACACTTTTCTCTTGTTACTGTTTTTGTATAGACACATAAAGATTGGCAACACACATAGGTCCCAGTCCAACAAAGTTAAACATATACTAAGTAGTCCCATTGACTTCAGTTGAATTAAATTTAAACATTTGCTTAAGTGTTTTGATTTATCAGGGCTGTAACATTCAGAATACAAGTCTTCCCAAGAACTTAATAACACTTTCATGCAACGAAAGTGGGTTTATTTCATTAAATGGTATATGAAACTCAAAACATGAATTTATGTGTTTAATAGAAATACACATTACAATATGTCATGGATTATATAACATTAAATTTTTTAGATTTTCTTTTTAAATTTCTTTATTTTGAAGCACATGTTCTGGATGAGTATTTATGAGATATCTGATACCTTTCCCTGTTTCCAGAGCCAGTTGTATATGCATCTCACCAACTATTCTGTGAATAAACATAATGAGCGCTTTGAACGGGATGAAACAGAAGATAAAGGCAGTAAACGTTCCATAAAATGGTTTACTGAGTTTCTACAAACAAATCATCTTGATGTTTCCAAATTCTGGAGTGATATTTCAGTAAGATAAAACTAATGTGCACTTAATGATGTATGTCTATAAAGAATATTAATTTAGAAAATTAATGTTGCCTGTCATCTTTAGATTTTGCTTGGAAACCACGATGTGTATGTCAGCATTATCAACCAGAGCTCTCAATAATATACAGTACACCACAAAACACAGACTGTAAATTGGTATTTGATATTTTTGTTTGATATTTTTTAAGGCTTATAAGTAGGACAGCTTTCAGACTGAATTACTATTCCTTATGGAGAGGCATTTTTCTGCAAGGCTAGCACTGAAGTTATTTTGCTAGACAATGCAGGACAGAGTGAATTAGTTGTGATAAGAATAGCAGGGAGATAGTGATAAATGTGGAGAAAACTTTGTTGTGTCCTATATGTCACGTAACTCTTAATAAGATTGGAGTTGCATATGATATAAGGCAGGGCAAAATTAGACAATGCTATTTTCAATATCTGCTTAAATTAAAGATTAAATGTATGCTTAAATCCCTTAAAATTGATTTGTTTGTATAATTCCCTCAATTTGCTTTAAAAATATAGCAATAATTTGTTTGATCTTTTCATAACCACATATGACAGGTCTAGACAATTCCTGTAGTCATGCATGTATAAGAGGACTTGAATATGAAAAAAATCTTGATATCATTCCCTGCAGTTGTAACATGACTTTGTGAAAAATCCCCACAGGAACTAGTGGTGAAGACTCTCATAGTAGCAGAGCCACACGTCCTTCATGCGTATCGTATGTGCAGACCAGGCCAAGCTCCAGGAAGTGACAGTGTCTGTTTTGAAGTACTGGGATTTGATATTCTGCTGGACAGGAAACTAAAACCATGGCTCCTGGAGGTACAGCACTTTTGTTGGAATGTAAAGCGTGCTTATAGAAAACGAAGGACTGTGAAGCCTAGCCTATGCCTTCATGGGGAAAATCCGAAGGAAAACTCAAAGCACTGTAGGGAGAGAACTGTACTGCTAATTAAATAGATGACACTCATCCTTCTGACGTTATATGTACACTGCATGCTTCTTCCAGCACCAAATATACATGGGTTGCCCTCCCCCCAGCACAAAATAAACTTAGATTAGTAGAGTGAGTACAAACGCTACTCTACAGCTCTCTATTCACCCACACTATGCCTCATTATCTACTCTGTTGTTTTTAGCAGTATCCTGTTCCCTTGCCTCCATTAGAGCTTTTACCTGCCACAGGAAAAGACTGACAGTGGGCAGAGGGGGTAGCAGGAAAGAACACTCAGTCTCAGATTTTCCCCACTTACTTCCCACTGCCAGAACCTTTTAACTGACACATGTAGCTACACACTGTAGCATAGATGCAGCTAGGTTTTTACTTTGGCATATAGTGACACACAACCTACACTCTGCCCTATTATTGAATTGATGCCCTTGAATAATCCTGGGGGTTGGGAAGTTTGGGGTAAGGGAAGGATACTGTTTTGCTCCAGATGTTGTATTTTACAACCGATGTAGATCTGAGGTTATGGCCACTTTAAAGTCCACAACTTTTTATGAGAGTACAACCCTGGCTTTCTGTGCACATGCTAGCAATGCCCCACTGCTATATATATTGGACAAACTGGACAGTCCCTACGGGAAAGAATCAATGGACACAAATCAGATATACAAAAAGGAAACATACAGAAACCTGTTGGGGAACACTTTAATCTACCTAATCACTATTTAAAAGGTCTTCAAGTGGCTGTCTTGTCACAAACCAATTCTACTAGCCAAGTACACAGAGCGTTGTTGGAATTACAGTTCATCCGCGTGTTCAATTCTCATGCTAATGGCCTCAATCGTGATGAGGAATGGTTGGGACACTATCAACCTAACATTCAATGAAGGTGCAAACAGCTCTTTGTGTAGATTCCTGTTATTGCCTTTGATTCTTATCTGCTTCGTTTTACCTACCCAATCTTCAGGTGCTTACTTATTCCCAGTTCTGCCTTCCTTTGATGTTTTCATACACTCTGCTCCTTGTTTCCCACTCCCCCTCCCTCCTCCCCTATTTATTTTGGATCTGCACATTGTTAGCAAAGGCACACTAACAAAAATAGAATTTAGAGGGCCTGATCTGAAATGGTCTATATGCCTTTGTCCCAGAAGAGGGTTTGCCCTGGAACCTGCTGTATCTAATCACTAACGGATTTTGGATGTAAATAAACACAGACTCGATTTCAAAATTTAATCAAGTATATTGTAAACACAACAGGTAAAACACAATAACAATGAAGCAACACTGCATAAATCCAACCATTCTCCCACTGATGTAATAGAAGACAGTACAGATAGGATCATAAACTAACGGTAGAATACTGTACTCTGTCAGAGGTTCACAGGTGCTCAGGACCGTCTAACGTATGGCTGCAGATAGGCGTAGGGGAGGAACTCTGAGGAGTCCTTAGGTCTGTAGGTGTTGAGTAACTCACGAAGCACTGCAGAGGGCCTGCACCACAGAATGCAGGCTTTGCCTCGTGTAGTCAATGTTGTCCGATGGTATGAGACGCAGGTAGCTGTGGACTCGCTACGCTGAGCAGTTGCCACAACGGTGGGTCCAAGCACCCTGATGAGGGTCTGTCCGTACTTGAGGTAAACCCGGCCTTCACCACTGCTTCCAAGTATAACAAGCAACTCTCCTCCATGGCGATGACAAAATGGCCGACCCAATCCTCTCAGGAACAGATGTATTTAAGGATTCAAAGGCGGGAAAACAGCTAGAGTCCTGTGTGCAGAATAATGGTGACATGTGCACAGTCTATGTGCCTTGTGCATAATTCCAATGTGCACAGCCAAAGTGTTGTGTTCAAAGGTGTTTGACACTCACAATGGGTTCCATTTTGAATTCCCCGTCTCCATTTTGAATTTACCATTTTACCAAAATGCAGGACAATGTAGCACTTTTACCAACAATCCATTTTACCAACAATATCCTTAACAATATCCCAAACTCAAAACTCTAGTCATCTGAAAAAGTGGGCTGTGCCCAAGAAAGCTCATGATACCATCTACATGTTTTGTTAGTCTATAAAGTGCTACCAGACCATTTGTTGTTTTTTAAGGTTTTTCTGTACACGTTAGCCTGAAGACCAGCCTCACTCCACAGAAGCCAAACTACAGCAATGCTCAAGGCTCCTGTCCTGAGGCCCACCTGCTCTTGCGGGGCTCTGGAGGATGTTAAAAATGGATACAGAACAAACCATTGCAAATAACAAATTTTAAAAATTTCCCTGTTGCATATGGTGGGCAGGGTTAGTGGTGCCATTTTGTTTTCTGTACTGAAAGGTAAAGCCATTTCTTGTGGAAGAGGTTCATTCACCAAGGGCTTGATACTGCAAGGTGCTAGGCATTATGGTGCCAAGCATTATGGCACCAGCAAATCACTTAAACAATGGCTTAGTTTTAGGTACTTGAAGAGTTCCATTGAAATCCAGGGATTTTGCACATTCTTGAAGTTAGCACACATGCTTTTACACTTTGCTGGGTCACATCAAAGAAGTTAGCATCCAGCAAGATCAAGTAAAAAAGCTGTAAATGCCATCTCCAAAATAATGGATTCTTGGTGTTATATTGTACTAGATGATTTACCTGGCATTGCTTGGGTTCTTAACTCAATTAATTTTTGTTCATTGAAAATAAAATGAAAATGTGCATGCTTAATTTAAATCATTGCTCTGGGTGGGATTGGGTATCAGGGGTTCAGTATGCAGGCTGCCCCAGGGAAAGAAAACTACCCTAGCCCTCTCTCATGGCAGCAGTTTTGGGCCGGGTGAGAAGTGTCTCTCCATGGCTGCTGCAGCTCCAGCGGGCACAGCCTGGGAAGGGGTGCATACAGGGGCAGATATAGGGCAGGGTGAGCGGGGCGGCCGCCCCGGGCTCCATGCTTCAAGGGGCTCCGTGCTTCAAGAAGCCCCACGCATGCGCTATGGCGCCACCGTGCATGCGCCGTGTCAAAGGGGGGCCCCACGAAATTGTGCTGCCCTGGGCCTCGCAAAATCGTCATCTGCCCCGGGTGCATATCCACCAGCTGGGGCAGATCCAGGTTGGTACTACCTATGGCCTTGCCAATATTTTATGAATTTACACTCACAAATACCTATTTTTGAAATAAACACGCTTCCCTTCCCTTCATGAAAGATCCACATAACAGATGAAGTTCTTATTTTCTAACCACTGACTGTCAGGGTAGTTTGGCAGGCATACTCCTCAAAAGGATTTGGCATAACTGTATTTGGACAAATACATGTTCCTTCCCTCTTTTCCCTATAGAGAGACTAATTTGCTGGCATCGATGCCTTGACTGGAAACAGCTGTATCTGCATTTTAGAAATGGAAATGTCTATGTTTATACAAATCACCAGCCCCCAAGCACTAGTAACATACATGCAATTTCTATTATCCTAGTCTGCTATCAAGTGCAGGTGCATGTGAAGATGGGGGTTCTGGAGGTTGCCACCCATGATAATAGTTGCAAAGTTAGAATCACATTGCCCTTGTATTTTGTGTGTGTGTGTGCGTGTGCACATATAGGATAGTATTAATAAACACTGCTGTGGTACTGGGATTATTAGAGGGAAGTATTATATATATGCATTGGGAGTCATAGATGCTCTATTTTATTTTCATATTTCATAGCTTGTTCAGCTGTTCGTTGGCAGTACCCCCAGGTCAACATCTATTAATGCCTTTATCCTTCTATAACAATTTCCATCCATTTCTGCCAAGAACTCCTTAAAAGGAGTGAATCACTCTGTAGCACTGGTGATAAACACAAACATCGCAAGTCTATGAGATTTCCCAATGTATTGGGAATATTGCCAAGGTGGCATTGTGATGATGGATGAAGCTTCTACACATTTCCTTAGCTCATGCAGCTTATTTTACAAGAGCAGCTGCATATATTATTACAATAAACCATTGTGATTGTTTCTGTATTTGCATGCCCCTTTCACTGCAGGTCTTAATTGGACCCAACATTTGAAGACACTTCAGCTCACCTCTCCTCTGGCAGGTTTTTAGGAAGCAGTGGGTAGGGTAGGGTCTTTGGGATGCGGTCCCAGGGGTGTTACCAGAAAAGAAGAAACATTAACCAACATTCAAAAAATATGGGGGCAGATCCACTGTCTTGGTTTTGAGAGGACTCTAATGTTGCTTGTCGCCAGGACACACTCTGGCTCTCCCTTTGGGAATGGCATGGTTTCCTGTGGTACTGATGTACTTCTGCCTTCTATATGGCTCCCAGACCTGCCAGAGGGATCCAGCTTAGCATGAGGAATTGAGGTGCTTGGGGCTGTGATTCTTCTTACAGCTCCATCGCTGAAAATTTGACTCTGCATTTTTCTATAGCCCTGAAAAATTAGCTTTGATTATTCAAATACTTGTTTGTCTCCAATTTGGTGTACTTAAACATAGTGTTGAATTACAAAGTTAATGCTGTGCATGCTTACAAAAAACAAACCCAAATCTGTGGTTTCCAATCTCGTGGAATGAGGTGTAACAGTTAACTAGAACTAAGGACTTAGTTCAAGTTAATGTTTGACTGCCGTGTATAGCCGTGGGCAGTTAGTTTGGACTAAGGGGATTTAAAAATGGTGCCCGGACAGGAAGATGCAAATAAAGCCCGGGATATTTAAATCCCGGGCTTCATTTGCAACTTCGAATGCCTACATTAGCCTCCCTAGTTCGAACTGGGAGCTAGTGTAGACATACCCCAAGTGATTTCTGGCTTGAATAGACATTCTTGTGCTAAAAGTTGCTAAACTCGCACTCTGCATAATGTAGCTTCATTAGCATTGAGAGTATTATCATGGGCTAGCTGCCCTGAGTAGGTT